AACTAAACGCGCCTTGTACCGCTCAACAGTCCCATCCGGTTTAAACTTTATCTTATAAACCCACTTGCAAGCGATACGCCTCTTGCCACGTGGTAAATCAACGAGTGACCAAGTCCCATTCGCCATGAGCGCATTTATCTCGCGCTGCATTGCCTCTCGCCAGTGAGGGAAGCGAACGGCATCATAGAAGGAAGTCGGCTCATACGTCGCACTTACTGCCGCCACAAAGGCATGATGAGCAGTAGACAGCCGATGGTAGGAGATGTAATCCTCAAGGGGATACGTGACAGTGGCCGAGTGAGCCGACCCGGGAAGCTGGACATCAAACCCACGAAGTCGCGTGGAAGGGAGGCGAACACGAGCACCGCGCCGAACAGCAGGGACGGGAGGTACGGCTGGTGTAGCTGAATCAAGCGAAGCTGAAATCTCAGGGGAGGAGCTGCTGGTCGAAGGTGCATTAGGAGAGGCACTAGAATCATCAGCTGGCGATGGGGATGTCGAGGCCTGTGGAGAAGAAGCACTAGGAGCTGGCGATGCATTATCATGCATTACTTCATGCACGTCGACAGCATCGGCCGGCGCATCCTCCAATTCAGGGGCTGTAGAAAGTGATGGCCCCAGCGTGTCATCGTCATGGACGAGAGGAGCAGTTGGCTGGACACCGAAGTTTGGCCGCGAGACAACAGCTGGGGTAAGCAAGCTCGGATCGGTAAGATCACGATAAGGAAAAACCGACTCGAGGAAGCGCACATCTCGAGATGAATAGATGGCCCGAGTCTCAAGATCATAAACGCGGTAACCGCGCTGAGAAGAGGGATAGCCCAAGAAAATCCCAGCTCGACCGTGATCGCCAAACTTGTGTAGTGAATGATGATTATCCCGAGCATAAACCAAGCAGCCAAAGCTGCGAAGATGCTCATAGGTCGGATTCTTCCCAAATAAAAGTTGAAAAGGAGAGCGATTGCCAATGGAAACCAGCGGCAATCGATTTATAAGATAGGCAGCGGTCAACACACATTCACCCCAGAACCGCAGAGGCAGATTAGCATGGAACCGAAGCGCACGAGCAGTTTCCAACAAGTGTCGGTGCTTTCGCTCGACAACTCCATTTTGCTGTGGAGTGTCAGTGCAAGAAGTTTGTAAAATAATCCCCTCATCTTCATAAAATTTAGTCAGAGCAATGGTCGCAAACTCAGGACCATTATCAGCTTGAATACGTTTAACCTGCTTGCCAAACTGCGTTTTTACCAAATTGCAGAAATATGTCAAATGGCGAGCAACATCGGACTTGAACCGAAGCAAAAACACCCAGACAGCTCTACTAAAATCATCCACGATCGTTAGGAAATAATGTGCTCCGGAAGTCGAAGCTGTCTTATAACTTCCCCAAATGTCAATATGAATAATCTCAAAACAATCTTGAGTCTTAATAGTGCTCAACTCAAAAGGATGTCTGGTTTGCTTGGCCCTTAAACAAGAACGACAAGGGTCTTTATTTCGAACAAAAGAACAATGAAGAGCCTTCTCCAACTCATGCAACTTCGCTGCAGAAGGGTGTCCGAGCCGTGAATGCCATAGCTCCGACTTATCCATGGAACCTCGAACAGAATGCGCCACTGGGTGCTCATGTGCGAAGAGCCGCAGATAATATAAACCATCCACGTGCTTACCCATCCCAATCAGCTTCCTGGAGGGTAAGTCCTGGAGAACACAGAAGTCATCCAAGAAAATGAACGCAACTGGAAGATCAGCAGTAAGTCGACTAACAGAGAGCAAATTGCACTGGAAATCCGGAACATAAAGGACTCGACCCAATGACAACTCTGCTGATAATTTTGTTGTGCCAATACTATGAACTCGAACACCCGTACCATTAGGAATCTTAACCTGTAACGAGGGACTCGAATCCAACTCGGTATCCAATAACGAAGCAGAATTAACAATATGCTCGTTACAACCAGAATCAATAACCCAAGAAGAGGAGTTTATCGAAAAGGTACCTGCCATGTTGGACGTTGGATCAATGGAGGCTCGCGCGGACTGCAAGAGATCGCCACTCAAGAGCGCTTTGAGCTGCTCAATTTGGCGACTAGATAGGCCTGGGATTTGGCCATCCGCGGTATCCACCTGGGCAGCTTGCGGTGAAGATCGCACAGCACGATCAGAACGCTTCTTGGACTCCCCCTTAGTGCCGTTGCGGGACGGAAAACCAATTAACCTGTAGCAGGTTTCCTTTAAATGCCCGACACGGTTGCAGTGAGTACAGCGTATTTTACCTTCCCCCTCTTGGTCCTTGTCCCGATCGCGCCCAGCAGGAGAGGATAGTCTCTCGGTCCTCTTTTCTCCTTGCGTCTGGAAGGCGGCCGCCTCAGGCCTTGGACGCCTACTGTTGGTGATTTGTCTTTGCTGTTCATCATTCGTCACCAGCTGATAAGCTTCCGCGAGAGTGGGAGTCGGCTTCATGGCTAAGATTTGAGATTTGACGGTGTTAAATGCGTCATCCAAGCCCATGAGAAAATCAAACAACTGCTCCCCCTCTCGAACATCACGCTGCCGCCTTTTAACGTCACAAGTACAGCCTGAGCATGAACACTCTAGGGACGGTGTCAAGGACTGAATTTCGTCCCAAAATCCTCTTAATTTTGTGTAAAAAGCCGAGACCGATGACTTCTCCTGCTGCAAGCAACTGATGCTGCGCTTCAGTTCGTACAAACGTCCGGCGCTGCCTTGGCCGAACCTGGACTGCAGATCAACCCAGATTTCGCGCGCGGTGGAAGCGAAACGCACGCTGCTACGAACTTCCTTCGTCATTGAGGTCTTCAACCAGCCTTTAACCATCGCGTTACAGCGACGCAGAGCCTCTCTCTCAGCAGGATTCTTCGCGATGGGTAAGCTTCCATCGACAAAGCATAGTTTATTCTTTGCGATGAGTGAATCAGTGATATCCATGGCCCACTCTCCATAATTAACATCCGATAACAGCTCCCCAACAAACAAATTGGACGGACTATCGGATTGATGAAGCTGGAGATGTGAAGGGAGGACTACCTGATCGTCAACACCACCATCCATTGGCGATTTCTGAGTCTTGCTCGACTTCTGGGTCTTGCTGGACTCCTCGTCTGAACTCATGATAGATGCCGCGGATCAAAGACGACGCAGCTCTGATACCATGTAAAATTCGATATTGCGGAATAAGAAATATGACGCGAGACACCGATTTACGTGGTTTCCCCACTCGATGTGAGTGGGACTAGTCCACGGAGGGCACGAAGCTCTCGAGAGAATTTTATTACTGCTGTATATTTTGGCTTAGGGTTCGGCGGCCAGACCCACAGCCTTTTATACAAGAAAAGCAAAATAACCTAGCTCCATGAACCGACTACGTACATGGGAAAGGTAAATTACAAAGTGACCCCTATATAATCAACAAGTAGCATAGGGAATCACAACAGTGGGCAATCATCGTATTTATTGTACGATTTGAAGAAGGATAAGAAGAAATCGTTGGATCGTGGCATGGATTATGAGGAAGAGGCTGCGGGAAATCTTCAGAATAATGGTGTGTTTCACGTATGGAGGTTCCGCCGATGTTTATATGGAATTCATGAGGCCATGCAATCCATGGGTATGGTCGAGAGACCTAAGGAAACATGTGCTCTTGCTATGGAGAAATCATTGGTTGATCCACTCCCTGGAAAATTTCTATATGCAATCCAGCTATTGAAGTATGTCAAAGAAGCTTACGGTGATGGGGGAATGAATGGAACGCCCAACCTGGGGAATGAAAATTATTGGAATTATTATTCCATGAAATGTAGGCTCAATCTGGCATGGGATGATGGTGTATATTATTTCTCAATGCATGGACCGCAACCGTGGGCCAACAAGTTGGGAAGTAGAGGCAAATTAGAAGTCATTGGTTCGGCCGCGTTGGACGAGGAGTTCACTTTCATTGGAGCTGGTAATGAGGGAGGAATCGATTGGGTGCACAAGCTGAATTGGAAGTATCGAAAGCGTGAACCTTGTGGACAAGGTTCTTTTAAGGGGGGAGGGATGTTACGAGATCGGGCCATCGTAGCATTTCGTAGGAGACTGGGCTTGCGTATCTTTAGTATTAGTACATTATTGGGCTTTTATTATTATTGTCTTTATTATTGTTTTCCTTGTTCGTATAGGATTTGGTTATTTGTTGGTAATATCCTTAGAGGTTTAGGAGTCATAATCTAGATAGGTAATGGTAGAGGCTTTGTGCCTATAAATATGTACTTGTTTCGTTCGGTTAAGGAAAGAAGATTGGAACCCAATAGTTAGCTTTTGTTCTTTATTTGCTATTTCCTTAGTTATGTCCTTTGAGAGTGCTTGCGTTTTATTCCTTTTTACAAGAAAACCCTAAAATCGCCACCCCCTACGCCACATCACCGTAACAGATGGGCTCCTCTCCTTCCCACCACAACTAATTAAACTGACTTCTATATGTTGTTATGGTGTGTTCTTCGATCGTCGACTTATTTAATTTCCTTAAGAACAGGGAAGTATTTTAATTGATCACGAATTGATTAAAAAAAGACTACATGGTGCCAAGTCTACCAAATAAAATAAAAATTGTAATGAAAAAGTCCACTAAAAAAATAATAATAATAAAAGACTACATTTTATAATTTATTGGACAAAGTCATTCTTTTTTCTTTTAATTAGGCGATAGGTTATTTTTTAAAAGAAGATGAAGAAGCTAAGACATATATATCTTTATACAAGACTCTAAGAGTCAATCCTTAAGCCCTAACTCATCCTTTCTAAGAAATGTCAATTCCCAATTAATGAAATAGATGCACTATTATATGCTATTTAAATTTTAATTAAGGCAATTAGCGGTATCCAACCACACATCAAGACATAATTATTATATATAACATGATCGCCACCATTCAAATTCTGCAATTCCATCCCAATCTCTCTGAAACTCATCATCTCGACCAGAAAGCAAACAGCATACAGTCATGGTTCTCTTTGATTTCAAGTCCGACAAGCACTACGTTGCTTCCTCGGACAAGACAACCCTCAAAGTCTACGAGTTGACCAACCCTACTACTGTTAATCCTTCCTCCATCGGAAAGGATCACTGGAAGGAAGTCGCCAACATCACATCCCGTGATCAAGATCAAAGCAATGACGAGGAACAAGATGATGGTGACGATGCATCAGCAGAGGAGGACGAGGAGGAATCTTACGACGGGCTGATGTTCTTCGATGGTCACGGGAAGATCGAGGGACGGGAGGCGTTGACCAAGCTAGCCCAACACCTCACCCGGCTCCAATTGAGGGTGAGCCCTCAAGGGCTCTGCTTCCAGGATGTTACCGGGCTGGGCGAGCACAAAGAGTTTGGGTTTCACTACCTCCGACTGAACGATCTTTTCAACTGGCCGTATCACGGTATCAAAATAGCGGGCATCACCACGTGGCGACGCCTGGTGTTGCAGTACTCCGTACCGAAAGGGGATCAGAAGAAGCGGCCGATGTCTGGAGGAGCTGCTGTGAGCAAGAAGAAGTACGAGGAGTTGAAAAGAATGATCGAAGAAAGGGATGAAAAGATCGGAAAGATGAGGGAGGAGATGGAAGAACAAGATTGGGAGATGGAAAAGCTAAAAGAAGAGAGGGGGAAACACGGGGTAGAGCTGCGCGAGTTGGAGAAGAAAAATGGCAAGGAGCTGCGAAAGCTGTCGAAGCAAAAAGATGGTGAGTTAGAAACGTTGAAGAGGGAGAAGGACGGGGAGTTGGAGGAGAAAGACGAGGAGTTAGAGGCGTTGAGAAAAGAAAAGGACGACGCAACAAAGTTGAGCAAAGAGAAGGACGAGAAGTTGAAAAATTTGAAGGAAGAAGTGAAGAATATGAAAAGAGCTAAGAAGGAAGACGAAGCAGCGACAGTAGGCGAGAAAGGAAAGATAACGGTGGACAGTGATGAATGGCACAAGTTGAAGAAGGACGCGGCGGAGACGAGACAAGAGGCAACGAAGAAGGACGAAGAGATGAAAAGAAGGCTAGAAAAAGTGGGGGATGACAACGAAGCATTGCAGAAGCTCGTGAATGAGAAGACCGCCGAGTCTCAGAAGCTAAGGAGCGAGAAGGAAGAAATGATGAAAGAGAATGCAGCTGAAATGCGAAAGCTGAAAGACCAACTGTTACAAGTTCCTCGCGAGCCGGAGCAACGTCGGCCCAAGCAATCATGGGCGAAGACAACTGCAACTAAATTAGTGCTCCTTTCTTACTGCGGTGACGACATAATAAGGAGAAGACGACCGGTGCCACGTGATACTTTTTGCATCGATGAAGGCAAATCGAATAACTTCAACTACAAGCCATATCAGAAGGGGAGCGTGCCGTTCTCGTTTACCAGTTCGATCAGTATAGTGGATGAAGATCCCAAAGATTGGCCGCATCCTCCCAAGACGAATGTGTACAGTAGTTCTTCTGGTTCATTCGACCAAGACAACTGGTGGCTTATGAAGACGACTCACCTGAGTGATGGCAGCTTGACGATGATGGCTTATTATGACGGCGATTTTCGATGTTCTGTTTTCCCGGAGAATACTTACCCTATCCGACTTCCCTATTCGTGGGACAATCATTTAATGGCAGGTACAAGTTTCTTCCTGGTTCACGTGGGCCGCGAATACAAGCTTGCTTTCATGTACCGCGACTAGCTAGGGCGACGGCGGGGTGGCAGTTTGGTTTTTTTGTCATCAGTAGTTGGCGATATTCACCTCCGGCGCCGATGCTGCTTGCCGGCCAAGCTTTCGGAGGCGTCTAAGTTTCTCTATTAATTCTGCTTAAATTTGCTGTATTTTTTATTTATTTATTTCTTCTTTCTTAATTATGGTCACCCTTTGTAAGATTATTTAAAAGGGAATCACGTTCAACAACAAACAACCCATATATATATGGGGCGAGAGAGATGATGAGGTTCATTTCAGATTTCAGTCGAGTGCAAGAAGCCAAGAACACCCACCCGAGCAGCGACGGATTCAGAACATAGTAAAGCACTGAGTCGCATTTTATTAGAAATTAGATATTGCAAAAAAAAATTGTTTTTTTTTCCAATATCAATTGTACATGTTGATCTTTTAATACAACAAATTCATCAGTAGTGGAGTCTACACCCATACGACATACCAATAGCATACTATTCTCCTTCGAATAAAAAAAGTTAACCAATCTGCATCGAGAAATTCATCGCTCATTTTGTTGCACAAATCATATTTCACCTGTTCCATTGCTGAAAAGGTTTTTTCCGTAGTAGTTGTTGACACGGGCAATGTCATCACTAGACAAATCAATCGACTAATCAATTTGTATTGTGTGTTCATCCCTCTTTCCATGAGATGCTTTAGTAATGTTTCAAGAGAACAAACCTCATAATTCTTTTAGTCTTGGGTAATGTCTATTTTTTATCCAAACCTTTTTCAGATTCTTTTATATTATCCAAATCTATCGAAATACTAAGAATTAGTCAAATGTTAACTTCCAATTAGCAATTTTGTTAGTAATGATGACTTGGCAACATGATACTGACTTGGAAGAGACACATGAATGTCAACATTCCAAAATTTTAGTATTTTAACTAAGAAAAGAGTTACAAAATTATTAACAATAACGTATAAATGGCTAATATTTTGATGCATTACGAAAGATTTGGATAATTAATAGCATTTTCATAGGTTTGGATAAAAAATAGACATTGCCCTTTAGTCTTTTACGTTTTAGAGTTTTAGAATTTTAGGTTACATTGTTTGTTTTTAGGGTTATAGGTATAATTTGCCCCTCTACTATGACGTTTTATCAAACATGCCCCTCTACTATATTTTACATCAAATATGCCCCTGTACTTTGAAAAAATTATCAAACATGCCCCTGTACTTTGAAAAAATTATCAAACATGCCCGTCTGTTAAAATTTTCATTGAAAAAATCGTTAATCGTGGTTGAACCGAGATTTAGATTACCCGACATCGGCAAATGGGTGGAAAAATGTCAGTTTTGTCCCTTGTTTTATTTCCCTGGGTCTTTTCAAAGTGAAATTATTTGAATGATTTGATTATACAAAATAACGAAAAAAATTCTTAAGTTAATTTATTATGGATATTTTAGTCATTTGTGTCGCCCAAACTAAAGTTCGGCCTTGGTTAACGGTTTTTGGATGAAAATTTTAACAAAAAGGCATGTTTGATCATTTTTACAAAGTACAGGGGCATGTTTGATGTAAAAAATAGTAGAGGGGCATGTTTGATAAAGCGTCATAGTAGAGGGGCATATTATACCTATAACCCTTGTTTTTATTTAGAAGAGAATCATTAGAGCTAGTATTTCTAGGCTAAATTTGGAGTTGTGATTTGAACATGTTCATCTAACCCATTTTCTTAATTACACACAATTTTATTATAAAATAACATTGGACCGAATAGCTAAAATCGATAAACTTATAAAAACTATACTGGCTCCGAATGCAGAAGAGGGCTAGGTCGTATCCCTGGAAGGCCACCCTTGGATCCGCCACTGCCCCCGAGAAAGAGTAAGCTTCAACCAATCCCAAAAACCAAACTAATCGCCATCTTCTTCTTCTTCTTATTTTGTGAAGAAAACTTAGCTGCCACTCTTATTTAGGGATGGCAATTTACCCACCCATGGGTAATTTTGCCCTAACCCAAGTAGACCCATTTATTATGGGTAGGGTTTGGGTGATGTGTGTATGGGTTTGGGGTTTGTATATGGGTTTGGGTTAGATATGGATATTATCTAAATGGGTATGGGTTGGATATGGATATCCATTTACTTGAGGGTGTTTTAACTACACATGCAAAAATTGGACTTATTTGTAAAACTTGAAAATTTTAGGTACCAAAATGTAAGACCAAAAAAATTAGGTACCAAAACATAATTTTCCATTGATATTTTGAGGACTTATATGCAAAAAAATTAAATTTAGGTACTAAATATGCATAACTATTAAGTTTAGGTACCAAACTGTAATTTGCATTTGGGTATGGGTACAAACCCAAATCCATATGTTAAAAACCCAACCCAACCCAAGTAAATGGGTATGGGTACAAACCCATAAAATTCTACCCATCTAACATTTATTTGGATTCCATACCTAACCCAATTGGGTTGGATAGTAAAATACTCATGGGTATGGGTAATATTGCCATCTCTACTCTTATTCTTAGATTTGCTTTTAGGGTCTTCTTCTTCTTATTTTGTGAAGAAACCTTGGGCCTGTTTACTTTCATTTCTGTTTCCTGTTTTCGAGAAAACAGATGTTGAAAACAGGTGAAAACAACATTTTGTCGTTTCCGAAAACAGCATGAAGTTGCCACTTTATGTTTTCATAGTTGGAAATGAATAGAAAACAGGATGAAAAGTAAACAAGTTTTCTCGTTTCGATTGCCAAAATTATGACATAAAAACAGAAAACAGGAAATGAAAATGGAAGTAAACAGGGCCTAGTTGCCACTCTAATTCTTAGATTTGCTTTTAGGGTTATTTTGTGAAGAAACCTTAGCTGCCACTCTAATTCTCTCTCAACTCTTCTAAAGAAAAAAAAAAAAAAACTCTTCTAACCTCTCGATAGAAATGAGAGAATGTTCTGTCCAAACTCTTTTAATTTTGAGTGTTTCTTACATACTTCATTTGTATGGACTCGCATCTGGTCATTGTTTTTTAATAATAAGTCATAATGTATATAAGAACAATAATAAATAATTAAATATAGATACATAAAAGCTGTAGCTGTAATGCCATTAGAGTTTAAGTTGACTTTTAATGGGTAAAAATATCCACCGATTCCTTCGTTTTAGAAAAAAAAAACTATTTGTCCAACCAAGTGGCACAATTAAGCATGTCAAACTATTTTGTTTTGTACTTTATATACTGATCCCTTCAACAAGTCAACTTTGTACTCGCCACTTGCTTTGGAAAAACGAAGTTTAATTAAAATCAAATTGCTATTGGTTTTTATTGAATTTATTTTGGTACTGGTTTTCGCTCGTTGTTGGTTTTGGTTGATTATGTTAATGGTATGGTTTTTTTTTAAAGAACACACTCATATAGCTTTCAAAATGTTTCAATTTAGAATTTTTAAAAATATATTAAAGTGACCTAAAATAGAATCCTGATCTTTCATTTTATGAACCCATAAAGAATGTTAAAAAAAATTAGCAGCAATATATAAAGGCAAAACATAAAGGCAATATAGATTTTAATGGAATCTACATCTACACAATACATAAATGCAAAACAAGAGATTAATTCCAGAAATGTCATTTTTGTCATTTCACTCAGCTCATGTTTATATATTAAAAATGTTATCATTGAAGTTCGAACCTTGGTCACTTGAACAAAAGTTAACGGAGACTAACGGTCAGTGATCAAACTTGAACCGTTAACCTAATTAATTAAGTGACTACGGATGGAATAAAGTAATTTTAGTAGCTAGCGTAAACTTTACTAGTAATTCAAGTGACCAAACTTGCAATTTAGCCATTTTTAGGTCAATGATTCCAGCTTCAGGGTAATCAAAATATTCCAAAGAGATGATAATTTCATTTTTCCAGCCGAGAATTTGGCCTCCCCTCGTACTCTGTACAATTTTGATTCTCAATCTTCCTCACTAAATACAGTCAGCAGAAGTTAAGGATTTCGAACAGGTATACGGTGACGGACGATCCAGCTGAGTTGCATACCCATTTGGGTTCTCTTCGGAGTGCTCGATTCAACTCGGTTTGTACCTATTCATTTTCGTACAAATTCAATATATATAGAAAAACAACAATATTTTGAAGCATAATATAGATGGGCTCCTCTCCTACCTACTCACCACATCTTATTAAACTGACTTCTAATATGTTTTTGGTCGTCGGTTTATTTCTTTAAGAATGGATAAGTATTTTAATCGATGATGAATTGCTTAAAAAAAGACAACATGATCCCAAGTCTACTAAAGAAAAACAATTGTAATAAAAGTCTACCAAAATAATAATAATAATAATAATAATAAAAGACTACATTTTATTATTTATTGGGCAAAGTCATTTTTTCCCCTTCTTTTAATTAGGTGAAAGGATATTTTCTAAAAGAAAATATGGATGAAGAAGCTGAGACGACATATCTTCTTTGGGATTTCCTACGGTAACTTGAATTTTTTTACCTGTTATAGCAGGTTTTACAGGTCGTATTACGTAAAATACAATAGGCATTACGTAATGGTTACGTAACATATGATAATCTTACGTAACAGTTGTAAAAGATCATTACGGAAGCCTTACGTAATAGAATGTGTCTTTACGTAATGAGTATTAACCTCGTGTTACGTAAAATGCTAAGTCATTACGGAAGCCTTACGTAACGCTACTGATTTAACTGTTACGTAAGAAATAATTGTCGTTCCGTAACCTTTACGTAATGGAAGGTCTTTTTACGTAATGAGTATTAACTTGCGTTACGTAAAGTGCTAAGTCATTACGGAAGTCTTACGTAACGCTTCCGATTTAATTGTTACGTAAGAAATAACTATAATTCCGTAACCTTTACGTAGTGAATATGTATTTTACGTAACAGTTGTAAAATATCATTACGGAAGCCTTACGTAATAGAAGATTTCTTTACGTAATGAGTATTAACATCGTGTTACGTAAAGAGCTAAGTTATTACGGAAGGCTTACGTAACGTTTCTAATTCAATAAGAATTAAAAAAGGAAATGTTAAAATATGGAAAGACAACTAAATATGAAAAAGGAAAGAAAAAAATAGGAAAAGGTAACTTGGAATGGGTGACCGGCAACTCATGTTGCCATTTATTTTTTTAGTTATTTTTATTTATTTAATCAATGGTTGAAAATAACTTTGATCAATTTTAACGGTTTAGATCTATGCAAGTTACCTAACTTTAAATTACACCCAAGTTATGGTAGGAGATCCCATCTTCTTTATATTAGTCAATCCTTAAGCCCTAACTCATCCTTTCTAAGAAATGCCACTCTCCAATTAATCAATAGATGCACCATTATATGCTATTTAAATTTTAATTAAGGCAATTAGTTAGCGGTATCCACCCACACATCAAGATTCAAGGCATTATTATTACATATAACATTATCGCCACCATTCAAATTCTGCAATTCCATCCCAATCCCTCTGATACTCATCCTCTCGACCAAAAAAGCAATTAGGATACCATGGTTCTCTTTGATTTCAAATCCGACAAGCACTTCGTTGCTTCCTCGGACAAGACGACCCTCAAAGTCTACGAGTTGACCAACCCTACCACTGTTAATCCTTCCTCCATCGGGAAGAATCACTGGAAGGAAGTCGCCACCATCACCGCCCGTGATCAAGATCAAAGCAATGACAATGGTGACGATCCATCAGCAGAGGAGGAGGAGGAGGAGGAGGAATCTTACGACGGGCTGATGTTCTTCGATGGTCACGGGAGGATCGAGGGACGGGAGGCGTTGACCAAGCTAGCCCAACACCTCACCCGACTGCAATTGAGGGTCAGCCCTCAAGGGTTTTGTTTCCAGGATGTCACCGGGTTAGGCGAGCACAAAGAGTTTGGGTTTCACTACCTCCGACTGAACGATCTTTTCAACTGGCCGTATCACGGTGTCAGAATGCCAGGAATCGCCACGTGGCGGCGCCTGGTGTTGGAGTACTCCGTACCGAAAGGGGAGAAGAAGCGGTCGTCGACGGCCGGAGGAGGCGTGAGCAAGAAGAAGTACGAGGAGTTGAAAAAAATGGTCGAAGAAAGGGACGAAAAGATACTGAAGCTGAGGGAGGAGATGGAAGAACAAGATTGGGAATTGGAAAAGCTAAAAGAAGAGAGGGGGAAACACGAGCAGGAGCTGCGAGACCTGGAAAAGAAAAACGGCAAGGAGCTGCTGAAGCTGTCGAGGAAAAAAGACGGCGAGCTAGAAACGCTCAAGAGGGAGAAGGACGAGGAGCTGGAGGATAAAACCGAGGAGTTAGAGACGTTGAGGAAAGAAAAGAACGAGGAGGTGAAAAAATTGAGGGAGGAAGTGAGGAATCTGAAAAGAGCCAAGAACAACGGAGATGGTGGTGCAGCAGCAGCATCATCATCAAAAGGGAAGATAATGGTGGACAGCGATGAATGGCACAAGTTGAAGAAGGACGAGGCGGAGACGAGGGAAGAGGTAGCGAACAAGGATGAAGCGTTGCGAAGGGTTATGAACGAGAAGGATGCGGAATCCCAACAGCTTAGGATCGAGAAGGAAGAAATGATGAAAGCGAGTGCAGCTGAAACAGAGAAGCTAAGAAACCAGCTGTTACAACTCCCTCGGAAGCAATCGTGGTTACAGACAGCTGCAACTAAGTTGGTGCCCCTACATAGTCACAATGACCGAATAATAAGCACAAGACGGGCGGTGCCACAGGATACTTGGAGTTTGTCCCGCGAAATCATATCGGGTGGTTTCCAGTACCACCCACTTGTGATCAATTTCTACTGGCCATTCTCGTCAGCAAATGGGCTGTCTTTGGTGGATGAAGATCCCAGAGATTGGCTGCCTCCCCCAAAGATTCGGGTGTACAATGGCAGCGCCGCATTCGACAAAGACAACTGGTGGTTTGTAAAGACAACCCACCCGGATGGCGGCTTGACGATGATGGCTTATTACGACGGCAGTTTCCATATTTCTAATCTTCCCGGGATGTCCTGCTCTATCCGGCTCCCCTATTCATGGGACAAGAATCCATTTTGGGCGGATACAACTTGCACCCTGGCTATGGTGAGCGGCGAATTCAAGCTTGCTTTCATCTACCGCGAGTAGTTACTAACGGCGGGCTGGATCGTTTCCAATTTGTTTCCGCTTCTTTATTTCGTTTTGCGGGGTAACAATTGTTAATTTGGATTTTGTCCATCGGCTGTGAATTGTGATTTCTTTATTAATTCTACGTTTCAATAAAAACATACACCTCTTAGCCAGCAAATTAGCATTACACCCCAATCTATTCGACAATCATCTCGACCAGCAAACAATTACAATACTATGGTTCTCTTTGATTTCAAGTCCGACAAGCACTTCGTTGCTTCCTCGGACAGAGCCACCCTCCAAGTCTATGAGCTGACCATAGAGTTTGGATTTCACTACCTCCGACCGAACGATCTTTTCAACTGACCGTATCACGATATCGAAATAACAGGCATCACCACGTGGCGACGCCTGGTGTTGCAGTACTCCGTACCGAAAGGGGATCAGAAGAAGCGGCCGATGTCTGGAGGAGCTGTTGTGAGCAAGAAGAAGTACGAGGAGTTGAAAAGAATGATCGAAGAGAGGGATGAAAAGATCGGAAAGATGAGGGAGGAGATGGAAGAACAAGATTGGGAGATGGAAAAGCTAAAAGAAGAGAGGGGGAAGCACGGGGTAGAGCTACGCGAGTTGGAGAAGAAAAATGGCAAGGAGCTGCGGAAGCTGTCGAAGCAAAAAGATGGCGAGCTAGAAACGCTGAAGAGGGAGAAGGACGAGGAGTTGGAGGGAAAAAAACGAGGAGTTAGAGATGTTAAGAAAAGAAAAGGACGACGAAGGAAAGCTGAGCAAAGAGAAGGACGAGAAGTTGAAAAATTTGAAGGAAGAGGTGAAGAATATGAAAAGAGCTAATAAGAAGGAAGACGAAGCAGCAGCGACAGTAGGCGAGAAAGGAAAGATACTGGTTGACAGTGATGAATGGCACAAGTTGAAGAAAGACGAGGCGGAGATGAGGCAAGAGGTAACGAAGAAGGATGCCGAGTCCCAAAAGCTCGGGAAAGAGAATGAAGCTGAGACGGAAAAGCTAAGGAACCAACTGTTACAACTCCGTCTTCAGTTGGAGCAACGTCGCAAGCAATCTTGGGTACAGACAGCTACAACCAAGTTGGTGGGCCTTTACGACGGCAATTTTCGCTGTTCTGTTTCCCCCGAGAACACTTACCCGATCCGACTTCCTTATGCATGGGAAAATCGCTTTACGACGGATGCAACTTTCATCCTGGTTCATGTGGGCCGCGAATACAAGCTTGCTTTCATGTACCGTGAGTAGCTTGCTTGGATGAAAGCAGGCTGATCGTTTTATTTGGTTTGGTGCTTGACAACTTGGTTGTCATCAGATGTGATCACCTCTGGAAAAATGCTGCTTTTCCGGGCACTCCGTCCGGTGGCGCATGCAGTAGCTTTCAGAGCTGCCTAATTTCTCTGTTAGTTTTGTGTCCTAGTATATCCTTTTATTAACAAGAGCAGTTGTGGTGCACAACCATGTATGACATGTCTGTCACATCAGCGCCACATCACTATTTATGGAAGACTTTAATATTTTATTCTCTAAATTTTACAGAATTATATTTCTTTCGTTTTAAGTCGGAATTTTTTTTGGCACAGATAAATCAGATTAATTGTGCTCTTCAAAATGATATCCACTTTGATATAATTTTGAATTTTTTTTTGAGACATCTGGTACTAGTCTATACCATCATGGTATTGTTGATATTACATAATAGTGATATTACATAAGAGCATACCAAGTCGTATGGAAGTGTAACATGGTGGTGTATAACATATCAGGCTGTCGAATGGTTGAATACATGATAGTATGAATATATTCACTGTCGTTTACAGCTTTCAACATTGTGTATCACAAGATACCACATACCAGGGTGGTATGAGGTGGTATATTTTGGTCCTGTATTTTTTTCTCCATAAATTTATAAATCCAATAGTTTATGATGAGCTCGTTTCTTCTGTGCAAAATTTTCAAAATGAGAGAAAAAAACCTACAACAAGAGGGGGGGGGGAATTGGGGTAAGATAAACTCATTTTCCTAGAATTAGAATTGATTCAATACTTCTATTGTAATGACACACATCTGTTTCATTGTTTTCTAAAAGTCATAATGTATCATTGTTAGGTTCAGGCTAGCGTACGTCAGCTGTAACAATTACTATCTAGAACACGAATTACCCAGAGTTTGGGGCATGATACTATACCCTAACCTCTAATGGGTGAACCTAGTCCTTATTCTTTAACCCAAGTCACAATATTCATTTAATCTAAAAAATAATTACCGACGGTTCTTATTCAGTGAAATATATTGAAGTGCAAAAATCAAGTGTGAACACATGCGTATGTACGCTTAACGTACACTAGCCTTTGCCATCATTATCATAGTTGGTAATGACATTAGAGTTGAGATTGAATTTTTTAATACCATTTGTCCAACCAAGTGACACAATTAAGCACGTCAAAGTATTTTATATATTTTTATACTTCTGATCTAATGATCCCTTCAAGAATTTAATCATGAATTGTTTAAAAAAAGACCACGTTGGTACTATTTACTCGGTCAAGTCTACCGAAAATTACATAAATCAAGGCTATTCGGCATTTTTTTTTTGGTGTGATGTTATTGCCTTCTTGGGGTCGTCGGTTTATTAAATGCTCAAACATGAAATGTTTAAAAATGACTACATTGGAATTATTTATTCGGCCAAGTCTACCCAACAAAAATATTAATAAAAAACGACATTCTATTTTTTTATGAAAATAAAGAAAGACTACTACACTGTATTATTTATTCGGCAAAGTCATTCTCTTTTAATTAGTTGAAATTATATGAAACCTTGATGTCCTGAATCTAGTGACAACAATTTCTTACTTGACTTGTATAATCCTACTTGTCCCACACTTAGTGTGGAGCCAATATTGGTATTGATGTACCCGCTCCGCCTGTCCCACTGCCATCATTACCCGAAACCTCTTCATGCTAGATTTAATATTTCAATCACTTGAATTATAAACTTGTTGGAAAATTTATTTGTGTTGGAAATGCCCATTGAATTCTGACTCATGCCTATTCATGCACTCCCAAATGTTTATTGGGTTTAGTTGAATTTTCTCTTTATTCAAAATTCAGGGAGTATGTTATCGGGTTTTTTTACGGGTGCAATAATTGGGTTGGATTTGAGGGGAAAAAAAAGAAAGAGTCAAGCCTGTCACATTGTCATCCCTAAGTATGTGTTGATTACTAGTGGAATTATTTTGTATCACACAACTACCTATCTTCCGAAAGAACGCTTTTGAATGACCGTTTGCTATAATTTTCGAATTCAAGATGTGTCGGATGTTTTCACCCTCACATTATAACTTAGACTAATCTCTTGAGAATTAAAGCCTGCTTTTGGAGTTGTACCGTTACACTTGTCTCCTACTGACCACCGTGTTACTTTTTAATAACTTTATGACTACAAAAATGTCATTCCTTTTTATATATTTTCCAATAGAAAAGAACGAGCTAGCTGATATGTCATACAGTATAGTGGTACAAAATTATACGGCCAGAAAATACATTAATTATAGTGGTACGGTTGTAAGAAATATAGTATAATGGTACATAAATTATATCATGGTGTTATATTTGATTCGAATGTTTCTCCATAAATACATCGAAATTGCCATATTCGTAGGAACACTTACGAAGCTGGGACATGTTGAGCCAATTAATTAATACATGCACTATTATATACAAGTAAATTTTAATATTAGGCAACTAGCGGTAGCCACACATATATGAAGACATTATTGTTTATATATACCATACAAATTCTGCACTTCCATCCCAATTCTCCCCGATACTCACCTCGACCAGAAAACAATTACCATACTAATGGTTCTCTTCGACTTCAAGTCCGACAAGCACTTCGTTGCTTCCTCGGACAAAACCACCCTTAGAGTATATGAATTGACCAACCCTACTGTCAATCCTTCCTCCATCCGGAAGAATCATTGGAAGGAAGTCGCCACCATCATTGCCCGTGATCACAATGTAAGCGAAGACTACGACGAGGACGAAGGTGACAACGGTGGTGCGTCAGTGGAGGAGGAATCTTACGACGGGCTGATGTTCTTCGATGGTCACGGGAAGATCGAGGGGCGGGAGGCGTTGACCAAGCTAGCCCAACACCTCACCCGGCTGCGGTTGAGGGTGAGCCCTCAAGGGTTATGTTTTCAGGATGTTACCGGGTTGGGCGAACACAGAGATTTCGGGTTTCAATATCTCCGACTAAATGATCTTTTCAACTGGCCGTATCATGGTATCAAAATGGTGAGCATCGCCATGTGGCGACGCCTGGTGTTGGAGTACACCGTACCAAAAGGAGGGAAGCTGCCAATGGTCGCCGGAGGTGTGAGCAAGGAGAGTTACGAGGAGCTGAAAAAGATGATCGAAGCGAAGGATGAAGAGTTGGGAAAGCTGAGGGAGGAGATGGAAGAACAAGATTGGGAGATGGAAAGGCTAAAAAGGGAGAGGGGTAAGCACGCGACAGAGCTTCGCGAGTTGAAAAAGCGAACCGGCAAAGAGATGCGGCAGCTGAGGGAGGAGATGGAGGAACGAGATTCGGAGATAGAGAAGCTGAAAGAGGAGAGCGAAAAACACGAGCAGGAGCTGCGAGACTTGGAAAAGAAAAACGACAAGGAGCTGCGAAAGATGCCGAAGAAAAAAGACGGCGAGCTGGAAACGCTCAAGAGGGAGAAGGACGAGGAAGTGGAGGACAAAATTGACGAGCTAGAGACGTTGAGAAGAGAAAAGGACGAGGAGTTGAAAAAGTTGAGGGACGAAGTGAAGAATCTGAAAAGAGGCAGCAGCAAGAAGCAGGAAGACGGAGCAGCAGCAGCATCAGGAGGAGCAGGTGATCAGAAAGCTGGGAAGATGACGACGGTGGACAGTGATGAATGGCACAGGTTGAAGAAGGACGAGGCGGAGATGAGGGAAGAGGTAGCGAAGAAGGATGAAGCGTTGCGAAAGATTATGAACGAGAAGGATGCAGAATCCCAACAGCTAAGGATTGAGAAGGAGGAAATGATGAAAGCGAATGCAGCCGAAACGAAAAAGCTAAGGGACCAACTGTCACAACTCCCTCGGGAGCTGGAGCAACGTCGCAAGCAATCATGGATACAGACAGCTGCAACTAAGTTGGTGCCCCTTACCAAGCAGAATGACCAAATAATAACAAGCGCAAGACGGGCGGTGCCACCGGATACTTGGAGTTTGTCCAGCGAACTCAACTTTCGAACTGGATCGGGCGCGACAAAGACAATTGGTGGTTTACGAGGACAACCCACCCGGATGGCGGCTTGACGATGATGGCTTATTATGACGGCAATTTCGTTTCTTCTAATTTCCCCGGGAGCTACTACCGAATCCGAATGCCGTATGCATGGGACGATGGTAGATTTTCGGCAGATACAGCTTGCACCCTGGCTAGGGTGGGCGAAGAATACAAGCTTGCTTTCATGTACCGCGAGTAGTAACTTAACGCGCAGGCTGATCGTTCGTTTCCAATTTGTTTTCCGCTTCTTAATTTACTTCTCTTTTTTTGCTTGTAACCATAATTTGGATTTTGTCTATCAGCTGTGGAACCACACCTCTGTTTCACGTCGATTGATTTCCACGCGCGTCGTCCTCAAATTAGGTTGTGTTTTAAAAGACTACTACATGTACATGACACTATTTACTTTGGCCGAGTCTACGAAAAGAAAAGAGATAAATAAAAGACTACTCAGACAATCAAATTTGTTTTTGTTGGGTTACGTTCTTGCCTTCTTGTGTCGTCGGGTTTATTAAATGTTCAAACATGAATTGTTTAGAAACGACTACATTGTAAACTATTTATTCGGCCAAGTCTATCCAAAAATATATTAATAAAAGGCTACATTGTATTATTTGGCAAGTCATTCTTTTTTAATTAGGTGAAACAATATTTTTAAAGAAAACCTTCATTAAAGGATAGACGCAAACCTGAAAGTTAAAAGGAAAAAGAAAAAAAAAAGAATCCCATTTTTTTAATGTAATTTTGGCTTTCATATGCAATTGCAAGTTTGCAAATATGCAATGGATAACCACATTAATACATTTGATTTTGCAATTGCAATAACATATGTCATGTCATTTTGCAATTGAAAATACAATATCAATTTAGATGCTCTTATCACAGTGATATGATATTGTTTGATAGTACGAAGATAGTACAGTCTTATCTTTGAGCAAAAAAGCTGATGTCATCATACCACAATCATATAATAATATTAGCACTATGATATCATAGTGATATAGTAATGGTGTCTCTCTTATCAAAGTAGTAAGATCATGATATGATATATATTAATAAAATAAAAATAAACACATTGTTTTTTTGTTTAATAATATCATAGTGGTAAATCATCATGGTATGACAATGCTGAGATGATCCATAGTACTATGATAATGGTACGACAATGATAAATACGATTAGGAACATAAAAACGTAGGTTTTGAACTTTTAAAGCGCGATTTTAACTGCATTGCACACTAGTCTCCTCCTCAAATTTGTTATTATTAATGACCAGGTGCACCTCCGCTCACCTCTCATTAATAATAGTCAACCTACCTAAATTAAAAGTTACTCAAAACAAAATATTCCAATTAGCAAGAACTAGTGTTACCACTATATTAACAAAAAAAAAAAAAAATGGTAGCACCCTACTCCTTCCCTTATTTATTCGGCCAAGTCTACCAAAAAAATAATAATAATAAAAGACTACTTTGTATTATTTGATTTATTCGGCAAGTCATTCTTTGTTTCTTTTTTCGTTGAATCGTTCGTTGTTTCTTCTTGTTAGGTGAAAGGATATTTTCTTAAAGAAAGTATGGATGAAGAAGCTGAGACATATCCCGAGTCAATCATGAAGCGCTAATTCATCTTTTCTTCGAAATATCATTTTCCGATTAGCTAATTAATTATAATAAAGACGTAATTATTATATATAACATGATTGCCATCCCAATCTCCGATCAAGCTCATCTGGATCGGACCAGAAAGTATCCCCTAACTCCACCTCTTAGCCAGCAAATAATTACAATACTATGGTTCTCTTTGATTTCAAGTCCGACAAGCACTTCGTTACTTCCTCGGACAGAGCCACTCTCCAAGTCTACGAGTTGACCGACCCTACTGTTAATCCTTCCTCCATCCGAAAGAATCACTGGAAGGAAGTCGCCACCATCACCGCCCGTGATCATGATCAAAGCGACGACGACGAGGTCCAAGTCGATGATCACAAAGCACCAGCAGAGGAGGAGGAATCGTCTTACCACGGGTTGATGTTCTTCGATGGTCACGGGGAGATCGAGGGATGGGAGGCGTTGACCAAGCTAGCCCAACACCTCACCCGGTTGCAACTGAGGGTCAGCCCTCAAGGGTTTTGTTTCCAGGATGTTACCACGTTGGGCGAACACAAAGCTTTCGGGCTCCACTATCTCGGACTGAACGATCTTTTCAACTGGTCGTATCATGGTATTAGAATGGCTAGCAACACCACGTGGCGGCGCTCGGTGTTGAAGTACCTTGTACCGAGAGGGGAGAAGAGGCCTACGCCGGCCAAAAGTGTGAGCAAGGAGATGTACGAGGAGCTGAAAAAGACGGTTGAAAAGAAGGACGAGGAGCTGGAGAAGCTGAGGGAGGAGGTGGAAAAGCTGAAGGGGGAGAAGGAAGAAATGACGAAAGAGAATGCAGTCGAAACGAAAAAGCTAAGAGAACAACTGTTACAACTTCCGCAGGAGCTGGAGCAACGCCGCAAGCAATCATGGTTAGTGACAGCTACAGCAAAGTTATTGCTCCTTCGCGGCCCTATGCAGAGTGACCAAATAAAAAGCAGAAGACGGCCGGTGCCACGAGATACTTGGAGTCTGCCCGACGGAGTTGGATGGACCCATTTCTACTATGAGGTATGCGGGAAAATGGAGCCCAATATGCTGCCGACGACTAGGCCTTTCTCGCAAGTAGATACCCTCTCTTTGGTGGATGAAGATCCCAAAGATTGGCAGCCTCCCCCAAAGATTAAAGTGCACACATTCGGTCGCCCATTTGACATAGACAACTGGTGGTTTATTAAGACAACCCACCCGAGTGGCGGTTTGACGATGATGGTTTATTATGACGGTAATTTACGTTCTTCTGTCCGAGTTCCCTATGCCTTTGACAGTGTTGCTTTGGTGACAGATAGAGCTTGCATCTTGGCTAACGTGGCTTACGAATGGAAGCTTGCTTTCTTGTACCGCGATTGAGTAGCCTGCTAGGGTGTGAGTGCGTGCTGGGCGGCCGGCCGGTCGTTTCCACTTATTGTTGTCAGTCAGCTGCTCTCCGGGGAGTACTCCGGTGGCCCAGCAGCTTCCGGAGGTGTCTAATTACTCTATTAATTATTTCTGCGTTGCTGCATGTGTCTTTTCCGCCTTCCCCAACTTCATTTATCTGTTAAGACTAATATAAGTCATCAATGTAATAGTGCTTCGAGTTATTCCAGTACCAAATTTTCAAATCCCGAATGTGATCCATTTACATGTGCTCCATATATATCAGCAACAAGAATTGTGAAACCCGAATCTATTAGGATGAGTATATATGACACTTTGGTTTGTCACTGACACGCCCGGGTGTATGTTAGCCTAAACTCTAAATTTTGATTGAGAAGAATAAAAATACTGAATTGAATGAATCATTCATAAAAAAAAAAAAAATTGAACGAATTAAAACACGATTAGTCGCCTTCCATCCATTCTTCCATCCGCCATAGAAAATCAAGAAGAGTTTTCAAGCTCTAGTCTTAAGTCAGATCTAAGTCATGTAACGATCTCGTCCTACCAAGGGTGGACAAATTATTTTTTATTTTTTATGATAGAACCAATGACTGCTTTACCGTACCGTGCCGGCCGGTTGAACCGGAAAAACCGGAAACCGAGCCATGGACGGTATGACGGAGAAGACTGCCGGAGGACTTGCGTACCGGCCGGTATTATCGGTGGAACTAGAGTGCCGCGAGATACCGTCCGGTTTTAATCGTGCCGGCGGTTCTTGGGAGACTGTCCAAATTTGGACTCTTAAAGGGACTGTGAAATCGATCGAATTACAGGATGGAGGCTGGATAGAACATACTGATTGAACGAGGGCGATGAGGTGGTGAGGGATCTGAAAATTTGCAGATCTATAGGAGGGTTATTTTGTTCTGCAAACTCGGTAATTTTTGGGAATAAAGAGGAAGAAGAAGATACAGAGCACTAATGGTTTGGGGAAGATGAGGACAGAGAAATAGAAAACTGTGTGCCATCTGGAGAAACTTGGGATCGATGGAAGCCGAATGGTTTGTATAATTATTATTATATTATTTATTAAGTTTATTTGCCTTTTATTTAATAATAATTAAATGAAAAACGAAAAATCTTTTATGGGTGCAGACCGTGCAGTGAGAGAAATCTTCTACTGCTACGCTTCATTAAACACTAGTATACCTATTTTTGCTTAATGTGTATCTAAATTCTCATTCAAAACTATTGTGTACTTAATTAAAAAGTTTTAACTTTGAATGAGTTGCGGCAATATTTTTGGTTGTATAAAATATTGATATATTAAATATTATATAAAATAATATAATATGAACGTTTTTTCGAGGCTCTCAAAATACAATTCTTCAAGAATATACGCTCTCCCGCTCCCGCTCTCGCTTCACGAATCGGTGAGCTAAGTTGGGAGGCGTGGGGGACATGACAAAAGTCCTTATTCTTTTTATTTTTTTTAGTTTTTATTCCGGTATATTTGCTCTTTTACAGTTTCTTAGGCGGTATAATCCGGTTTTATTCCGGTATTTTCCCGGTATGGTACCCTAATTTTGCCGGTACGGTTTTTTAACAAAAAAATTATTTTTTTATTCCAAAAACGGTATTTACCGGTAGGAAACGGTTGAACCATGGTTGTACCACGATTTACCATGCCAAAGACGATTCCGGTTTGATGTCCGGTACGGTTTCGTAATCCATGGATAGAACTCAGATTTTTTCGGTACAAATAATTCAAACACATGACCTCTAACTAGCTTGGCCCATGCAACTAAGAGAGGAAATCATACAAATCTTTAAGTGAACGGCTATTTGCTGCCAACAAATTGTGTAAATTTGTAGATAATTAGATATGGATGATGCGGGTGGGAGTGAGTTGCATAGATTCGATGGTAGGGTTGTTGATGCATCAACACGAAGGAAGGTGCCTAAGAAGAATAAGGAGAAGAAGCGCTCTCGAGATATTGGACATTTTGTGGCTCAGCCTGGCTCCGGCCACCGATTTCCGTCGGCCCTGCCTGTTTCCGGCCGCCGGAAATTTTCGGCCCACCATTTGTTCGTTGCAAATCGTCGGAAAAATTGTTCGAAACTACAAAAAATTGACGCACCTGCTTAGTGATGATTCATGGATGCGTGTCCGCAGTTTACGTCGAGGATGAGCTTTCCCAATGATTTTACGGCGACTTTTCCGGCAAGCGTCGATTTTTTCTGATTCAATACGCTTTCTGAAAGTTGGATATGTTGTAGATTGTGAAACTCCTTAACAAAAAAATATATATATATACCTTTTTTTTTATTGGCGGCAAATAGCAATTTGGTTGGCGGCAAATAGCAAGCCCATCATTAAGGTTTGTTGAAATTTCTTGAATTTGCTGTTATCTAGCGCTATAATTGGTAACATGGGGGGTAATGTTATCACATAATGGACGTGTTTTAGTTGCTTCTTTAAACTTGTCGGTGCATGAATTATCTAGCGCTATAATCTTAGCTCGTCGGCTTCTTTCTGAATGGGGAAGTAATTAATCATGAATTATTTAGAAAAAGACTGCATGGTGTCAAGTCTACCTAAGAAAGAAAAAAATGAGAGTATTTGGCAATCTAATTTGATTTGTTGTGTTCTTTTTTTTTCTTGGGTCACGGACTTATTATGTTTCAAATATCAATTGCTTAAAAATGACCACGTATTATTAATTCGGCAAAGTCTTTAAGGAAAACAAAAAGAATACATTATACTAGTCTTTTTATAAGGCTATTTATTATGTTTCAAATATCAATTGCTTAAAAATATATTTTTCTCGATCATTGGTTCGTTTTGAGTGTAATTGGTAATGCTTCGTGTTTTTGTTGTTACGGTTCAAAATCTCAGGATTGATATATCTTTTTCATGAATAAGAAATAAATAACTGTGAAGACATATTTCCTCTTTCTATTTTTGTTCTTGTCGGAAGAAATTTGAAATGTTGAAAAAATGTTCTCAACTCAGCTATTATAGATAATGACAGAACAAGTGGGCTGATCACCAACAACTTTTACTTGTTCCTACCAACATGCCACGCTATTGCAAGCGCTTACTAGTCCAAATTTAGAGTAATTGTAAAATGCAAGGTATTATATATTCAGCCAAGTCTATCAAGAGACAATAATAACAAATAATAATAGATAATACTGTATTTAGGTCAATCATCCCAGCTTTTCTGGGTAATCGAAATATTCCAAAGGGATGATCGTTTCATTTTTCCAGTCGAGAATTTGGCCTCTCCTCATACTCTGTACAATTTGGAATCCCATTTCTAACAGGTATTCGGCGCCGGATGAGTTCCATACCCATTTGAGTTCTCTTCGGACGGCTTGATTCATCTCGATTTATACCTATTCGTTCTCGTACAAATTTAATAAATATCGAAAACATCAATACTTTGAAGCATAATAGATGAGCTCCTCTCCTACCCACCACAATTAACTAAACTGTCTTCTAGTATGTGTTTGTGTGGTGGTGTGTTCTTCGGTCGTCGACTCATTTAATTTTCTTAAGAACAAGGGAAGTATTTTAATCGATCATGAATTGATTAAAAAAAGACTACATGATGCCAAGTCTATCAAATAAAAAATTATTATGAAAAAGTCTACTAAAATAATAATAATAATAATAGACTACATTTTATAATTTATTGGACAAAGTCATTCTTTTTTCTTTTAATTAGGCGATTGGTTATTTTTTAAAAGAAAATATGGACGAAGAAGCTAAGACATATCTTTATATAAGACTCTAAGAGTCAATCCTTAAACCCTAACTCATCCTTTCTAAGAAATGTCAATTTCCAATTAATGAAATAGATGCACTATTATATTTGAATTTTAATTAAGGCAATTAGCGGTATCCAATTCCACCCACACAGCAAGATCATTATTATTATATATAACATGATCGCCACCATTCAAATTCTGCAATTCCATTCCAATCTCCATTCAAGATAATCTGCTGGAGCCTGGATGGGAGTAGAAAGATTCCCCCCGGCCAATTCCCCTTCCTAGTTAATTAGCAAATTAGCATTACATCCCAATCTCTCTAATACTCATCATCTCGACCAGAAAACACAAATAGCATACAATGGTTCTCTTTGATTTCAAGTCCGGCAAGCACTTCGTTGCCTCCTCGGATAGAACCACCCTTAAGGTCTATGAGTTGACTAACCCTGCTGTCAATCCTTCCTCCATTGGAAAGAATCACTGGAAGGAAGTCGCCACCATCACCGCCAGTGATCACGATCAAAGCAATGATGAGGAACAAGATGATGGCGATGCTGCATCAGCAGAGGACGAGGAGGAATCTTACGACGGACTGATGTTCTTCGATGGTCATGGGAAGATTGAGGGACGGGAGGCGTTGACCAAGCTAGCCCAACACCTCACCCGGCTCCAATTGAGGGTGAGCCCTCAAGGGTTATGTTTCCAGGATGTTACCGGGTTAGGCGAGCACAAAGATTTTGGGTTTCACTACCTCCGATTGAATGATCTTTTCAACTGGCCGTATCACGGTATCAAAATAGCGGGCATCACCACGTGGCGACGCCTGGTGTTGCAGTACTCCGTACCGAAAGGGGATCAGAAGAAGCGGCCGATGTCTGGAGGAGCTGCTGTGAGCAAGAAGAAGTACGAGGAGTTGAAAAGAATGATCGAAGGAAGGGATGAAAAGATCGGAAAGATGAGAGAGGAGATGGAAGAACAACATTGGGAGATGGAAAAGCTAAAAGAAGAGAGGGGGAAACACGGGGTAGAGCTACGCGAGTTGGAGAAGAAAAATGGCAAGGAGCTGCGGAAGCTGTCGAAGCAAAAAGATGGCGAGCTAGAAACGCTGAAGAAGGAGAAGGACGGGGAGTTGGAGGAGAAAGACGAGGAGTTAGAGGCGTTGAGAAAAGAAAAGGACGGCGCAGCAAAGCTGAGCAAAGTGAAGGATGAGGAACTGAAAAAACTGAGGGAGGAGGTGAAGAATATGAAAAGAGCTAATAAGAAGGAAGATGAAGCAGCAGTAGGCGAGAAGGGAAAGATAACGATAGACAGTGATGAATGGCAGAAGTTGAAGAAGGATGCGGCGGAAATGAGGCAAGAGGTAATGAAGAAGGACGAAGAGATGAAAAGAAGGCTAGAAAAAGTGGGAAATGATAACGAAGCATTGCAGAAGCTTGCGAATGAGAAGACCGCCGAGTCTCAGAAGCTAAGGAGTGAGAAGGAAGAAATGATGAAAGAGAATGCAGATGAAATGCGAAAGCTGAAAGACCAACTGTTACAAGTTCCTCGCGAGCCCGAGCAACGTCCCAAGCAATCATGGGTGAAGACAACTACAACTAAATTAGTGTCCCTTTCTTTCTGCAATGACGACATAATAAGCAGAAGACGACCAGTACCCCGTGATACTTTTTGCGTCGATGAACGCAAATCGAGTAATTTCAACTACAAGCCATATCAAAAGGGGAGCGTGCCGTTCTTGTTTTACAGTTGGACAAGTGTGGTGGATGAAGATTCCAAAGATTGGCCGCCTCCTCCCAAGATGAATGTGTACAGTTCTTCAGGCTCGTTCGACCAAGACAACTGGTGGCTTATGAAGACGACTCACCTGAGTGATGGCAGCTTGACGATGATGGCTTATTACGACGGCAATTTTCGATGCTCTGTTTTCTCGGAGTATAATCACCCTATCCGACTTCCCTATTCGTGGGACAATCGTTTAATGGCAGGTACATCTTTCTTCTTGGTTCACGTTGGACGGGAATACAAGCTTGCTTTCATGTACCGTGACTAGCCTGTTAGCTAGGGCGACGACCGGCTGGCAGTTTGGAATTTGTCAATCAGTTGGGATCACCTCCGGCGCCGATGCTGCTTTCCGGTCACCGCGGTCGCCCAGCCAAGCTTTCGGAGGTGTCTAAGTTCTCTATTAAATTTGCTGTATTTTTTTCTTTTTTTCTTCTTTCTTAATTACTAGCTTTGTGCCCGGCCTTTGGCCGGGTCTGAGCTGTATTGCTTATGATTTATGAATTATTATTGCATGTTTGTTTGGTGTGTGTTTGTATTGAAGGGATGTTTTGTTTTCGTTTTTTGTTTACTAATCACCCTTAGGCCTCAGAACTAGTGGTTGAGCCACGTTTTTAACAGGAGGGGTTATAGCCCCCCTAACTCTCAAAGTTGTGTAAATTTCACAGCAAATTTGTATAATAGAATAGGTGGTAAGATTTTAGCCCCTCCTCTCCGGTTCAAACCTATGAACGTAATTTTTTTAGGCCCATTCATTCAGATTCCTGGCTCCGCCAGTGCTAAGAACGTCTCCATTTTATTTTTATTATGAACATGTCGCTTGCTTTTTTCTCTTACTCCTGTTTAGCTACATTATAGGTATAGAATAAGCTTTGCAGGTCTTATACGAATCTTGTATCAAAGGATTTGTGCTATAATATATCAGCATGAAGAGCAAAAACCTTATTTATTCATTGTAGCAGTAGTTTAGGAAAACATTTACATCTTATTGAACCACAAAACTGAAGTCATTTGTTTTTATACATAAAAATCTAATATGGTACTTAGAAAAGCCTTGCATCTTATTTTTACACATAACTGAAGCCTTTTGTTGTAGTACACAAATATATTACATATATAGTAGGATAGTCGATAAGCCTTCACATTTTATTTGTAGACACACTTGAAGCCTTTTGTTCTTATGTATAAATATTTAACATAGTATATAGGTAGGGTAATTGTCGATCTTTTGCCTTTTCGGTCCATCTGCAATAATCAAGTGACGTGATTCACTTAGGGGGTTAAAAGCTAGGTAAGTAAGACTCCGGCCATAATATAATCCGACAAACAGTACGGAAAAAGTTGTCTTTACCAACATGTGAAATGTGTTATCCAAGATAAAAAAAAAAGGTTGATGCAATCTACAATGATTCTGGTTTGGAGTAATGAAAAAAGATATTATGTTTCTAATGGAATGACTGCAAATTCAGGATTAGAAGGGAAGTGAATACTACTCTATTTCAATATGAAGCTCAATAATTAGTGAACTAAATATGAGTGCACACTTGAATAATCTTTTTGTGTGTAATGGAGTTGGGCGATTCACATCAACGATACATGTAATCTAACAATGGGAAGTTAATTAATTGGAATAAATATTCATCGACAATTAAATGTGAAATCACATACCTATACCATTTGAAGCCGTGGAGCCGGCAAAGCGGCAACCACAGTCCACAGCTTCCCCTATCTATGGTGCTGCCTCCACGCCGGAATAGGTAGGTAGTGGAGATAATAGTAGTGTCGAGTGCCGACGGTATAAATTGAGAAGAAGAAGAAGATAACGGCGGTTGGACGGGCATAGATTGGTCGCCGTGTGAAATCGTGGAATTCCAAGGAAATAACTGGGGGTGGACGGCATGCGAGGGTGTGATGGCGGCGGAATGGTGTGGCCGACGGCAGGAAGGACCGGCTAGGACGGCTGGTGAATGGAATGAGTCGAATAATGGTGGTCGATTGATTTACAATATCAATTGTACATGTCGATCTTTTAATATAGCAAATTCATCAATAGTGGAGTCTACACCCACACGGCATACCAATAGCATACTATTCTCCTTTGAATAAAATAGTTAACCAAACAGCGAGAAATTCATCGCTCATTTTGTTGCACAAATCATATTTCAGCCGTTCCATTGTTGAAAAGGTTTTCTCCATAGTAGTTGTTGACACGGGCAATGTCATCACTAGACAAATCAATCGACTAATCAATTTGTATTGTGTGTTCATCCCTCTTTCCACGAGATGCTTTAGTAATTTTTCAAGAGAACAAACCTCATAGTTCTTTTAGTCTTGGGTAATGTATATTTTTTATCCAAACTTTTTTCAGATTCTTTTATAGTATCCAAATCTATCGAAATACTAAGAATTAGCCAAATGTTAACTTCCAATTAGCAATTTTGTTAATAATGATGACTTGGCAACATGATACTGACTTGGAAGAGACACATGAAGGTCAACATTCCAAAATTTTACTATTTTAACTAAGAAAAGAGTTACAAAATTATTAACAATAACGTAAAAAAATGGCTAATATTTTGATGCATTACGAAAGATTTGGATAATTAATAACATTTTTATAGGTTTGGATAATATAAAAGAATCTGAAAAATGTTTGGATAAAAAATAGACATTACCCTTTAGTCTTTTACGTTTTAGAGTTTTATAATTTTAGGTTACATTGTTTGTTTTTATTTAGAAGAGAATCATTTGAGCTAATATTTCTAGGCTAAATTTGAAGTTGTGATTTGAACATGTTCATCTAACCCATTTTCTCAATTCCACACAATTTTATTATAAAATAATATTGGACGGAATAGCTAAAATCGATAAACTTATAAGAACTATATATACTAGCTCCGAATGCAGAAGAGGGCTGGGCCGTAGTCCGGGGTGGCCACCCCTGGATCCGCCACTGCCCCCAAGAACAAGCGGGTTGATCACCAACAACTTTTACTTGTTCCTACCAACATGGCACCCTATTGCAAGCGCTTACTAGTCCAAATTTAGAGAAATTGTATAATGCAAGGTATTATATCTGGCCAAGTCTACCAAGAGATAATAATAATAATAATAATGATAATAATAATAGATAAATAATGAATGATTTATTGTGCTAATTAAAAATGAAAATAACTAATTTGTATTTTCATAATTTTATAACAATAAGCTCGTTGTAGTTCAATGAAGATGTGCCAGTTGCAATCAGTGAAGTTGTGTTGAAGGCCTTGGATTTTAATAATTTCAACCAACAACACATAAATTTCTATTAAAAGAGTCAAATGAAAACGTGTTCTCTTATAATTTTTACATCAAGTCATTTCCTATGAACGTACGTCATTGCTTACTAATAATAAGTCATATAATCGAATTAAAAGCATTATATTCCCTCACCAACTACAAGTAAATTGACTTCTAAACTGTTTTGTTGTGTTCTTAGCTCGTCAGCTTATTTATGAAGGGGCAAGTAATTAGTCATGAATTTTTAAAAAAGACTACATAATGCCAAGTCTACCTAAGAAAGGAAGGGGAAAAAAGCGACTATTTGGCAATCTAATTTGTTTTGTTGTGTTCCTTTTTTTCTTGTGTCGTGAGCTTATTAAGTTTCAAATATAAATTGTTTAAAAATGTCCACGTGTTATTTATTTGGCGAAGTCTTTGAGAAAGAAGGAAAGAAAAAAAGAATACATTATCTTATATATAAGGCTTATTTAAATTGTGCATACGTGTTCTAGTTTAGGTTTTATGGGGAAAAAACATATATTTTTCTCGTTCATTGGTTTTCTTTTAGTGTAATTGGTAATGCTTTATGTCTTGTTTAAAGAAATTATGATTTAAATCTCCGGATTGATGTATCTGTTTCTTTTACGAATAAGGAATAAATAATTATGAAAACAAATTTACTTTTTCTACTTTCACTCTAAATTTGAAATACTAAAGAACTGCTCTTCACTCTGCTATTATATAGTTGTAGATTATTGTAGAACACTAACAACTTTTACATGTTCCTACGAACATGGCACGCTATTGCAAGCACTTACTATTTCAAATTTAGAAAAATTGTAAAATGCAAGGTATTATATACTCAGCCAAGTCTACCAAGAGACAATAATAACAATAAATAATAGATAATATTGTATTGTTTATTTATTCGGCAAAGTCATTCTTTTTTCTTTAGTGAGGTCAAATGATAAATTTTTAAATTGTGAATGAAGAAGCTGGGTATCTTGAGCCATTATTATTACTATATATAAGATGGTGGCCACCATACAAACTCTGCAATCCCATCCCAATCTCTCCAACAATCATTTCCACCAGAAAACCAATAGCATATAACTATGGTTCTCTTTGATTTTAAGTCCGACAAGCACTTCGTTGCTTCCTCGGACAAGACCACTCTCCAAGTCTACGAGTGGATCAACCTTGATGTTAATCCTTCCTCCATCAGGAATACTCATTGGGAGGAAGTCGCCACCATCACTGCATGTGATCGCGATCAAAGCGACGACGAAGAAGATGAAGGCGACGATGACGATGAAGCTTATGAGGGGTTGATGTTCTTCGATGGTCACGGGAAGATCGAGGGACGGGAGGCGTTGACCAGGCTAGCCCAACACCTCACCCGGATGCAACTGAGGGTGAGCCCTCAAGGGTTCTGTTTCCAGGATGTTACCACGTTGGGGGAACACAAAGCTTTTGGACTTCACTATCTCCGACTGAACGATCTCTTCAACTGGTCCTATCATGGTATCAAAACGCCGAGCGTCGCCACATGGCGACGCCTGGTGTTGGAGTACACCGTACCAAAAAGGGAGAAGCGGCCTGCGGCCTCTGGAGGTGTAAGCAAGGAGATGTACGAGGAGATGAAAAAGGCGATCGGAAAGAAGGACGAAGAGTTGGAGAAGCTGAGGGAGGAGGTGGAGAAGCTGAAGGGCGAGAAGGAGGAAATGACGAAAGAGAATGCAGCCGAAACGAAAAAGCTAAGGGACCAACTGTCACAGCTTCCTGAGGAGCTGGAGCAACGTCGTAATCAATCATGGTTACTCACAGCTACAACTAAGTTAATGCCCCTTCGCCAATATATAGAGAGTGACCAAATAAAAATCAGAAGACGGCCGGTGCCACGGGATACTTGGAGTCTGTCCCTCAAAAGCCAATGGGGCAGTTTCCGTTATGGGCCAAGCAACAACATCTGGCCGTTCGGGCTAGCAGATAGCCTCTCTTTGGTGGATGAAGATCCGAAAGATTGGCTGCCCCCACCCAAGATCAACGTGAACATATACGAGAGCCAATTCGACATAGACAACTGGTGGTTTGTTAAGATAGCCCACCCAAATGGCAGCTTGACGATGATGGCTTATTACGACGGCAACAATATCAGTGGTGGTGTCCGAGTTCCCCATGCAGCTGACCTCACTGGTTTCCATATAGATACTGCAGCTTGCATCCTGACTTGTGTGGGCGGCCAATACAAGCTTGCTTTCTTGTATTGAGTAGCCTGCTAGGGACGTGAGTGCGGGCTCGTCGGTCGGTCGTTTCCACTTATTTGGTTTGGTGTGTGAGTGTTTTTCTTTTCTTCCCCAACTTAATTTCTCTGTTAAGCCTAATAAAATCATCAATGTAATAGTGCTTCAAGTTATTCCAGTTCCAAATTAAATCCCGAATGTGATCCATGTACAAGTGCTCCATATATATCAGCAAACATGTTGGGTGAAATGCGATGGCAAGGAAGCAAAAATTGTGAAACCCGAATCAATTAGGATGAGTACTCAGCTATATGTAATTATATGGCACACTAAACTTCGATTTAGAACAATTAGAGCACGGAATTGGACGAGTTAATTAGGTGCTCTCCATCCAAAGTAACCATAGGAAATTATTATGACCCATGGTAGGTTAGGACTTAGTTGTAAGAGAGAGAGAAAAAAAAATAGGATGCCTATGCTTGTATATGCTTTCTAACAATAAGTCATAAAATCGAATTAAAAACATGATACTCTCTCACCAACCGCAAGTAAATTGACTTATAATCTGTTTTCTTGTGATCTTAGGTCGTCGGCCTATTTCTGAACGCGGAAGTATTTAATCATTAAAGTGTTTAAAAAAAACTATATGGTGCCAACTAGTAGGAAGGAGATGGGGGTTGCTCCAAGGATTGGCCACCTCCCTCCAAGGATTAACATTTAATGTGTATAGTTTCCCTTGCCATCAAATAGGCAAGGGTATTGTTTTGTCTACCAATAAACTGTACTAGAACCCCTAGATACGCCTGCTGAACAGTCCGGATTTCCATCAGCAACACACCTCGCACTGACCTTGTTGATGATTACCTTGGTGTCGCCTCTCATCATTATCGAACGAAGCCCTTCATCAATGCTACAAATGAAAAGCTTCCCGAAGAGGTACCAAAAGATATTACAAATTAGAACATTAGATAAAATCACAAATCCCTGCAGTAACATCAACCTGAGGATATCCAACCCGATGAAGCTAAACTAATTTATGCACTTTTTTTTTATAACAATTTATGCACTTTTCTATGCAATGAGCTACAAGTTAAAATGGAATTGTTAAAACGGGGAAATATTTATTCATGAATTGTTAAAAACGACTACATGGTACTATTTACTCGTCCATGCCTGCCAAAAAGATTGAATAAATAAAGACTATTCGTTTTGTTTTATTCTTGCCTTCTTGGTTTCGTCCGTTTATTAAATGTTCAAACATGAATTATTTAAAAATGACTATATATTATACAGTTTATTCGGCCAAGTCTACCAAATATTATCAAAAAAAGACGCATGGTATTATTCATTCGGAAAAGTCATTCTTCTTTAATTAGGCGAAAGGATATTTTTCAAGAAAACCTTCATAAAAGGATAGATGCAAACCCAAAACCCCTTCATGCTAAATTTAATTTAATATTCCAATCACTGGAATTATAAACTTGTTGGAAGCATTATGAGTAGGGGATGTCAATTAAATTCGGACCCATGGGTATCCAATTTGACTTGATCTGACTACATTGAATAAAATTCAATGATGGCGGGTTCCGACAGAAGTGGGTGTTACTCGCTTCTGGAATTAATGTGTTGGGCACAAGTTTTGTTAAAATCTTCTCCGCCTTGCACTCGAAAAGCGAGTTAATGCCATTTTGCATCTAATCCTATGGTCAATTATGAATACTATTTGTCTTTATAACGACATTGCATTAATAATATGGATGATTTTTGTCGTCCCCAAACCTCCTCTTTTTTGTAGTGTGAAGACAACGAGTAATATTAGGGGCCGTGAGGACTTAACACGTAAACTGAATGACAAACCAGACTCTGGTACCATGTCAAAAACCAACTATTCCCAATAATTTGAGTTGTTGGGAGAGACTCATGTATAATAACTTAACCACATCCTTTACTAAAGAAAAGAAGGCGAGACATATCTTTAGTCAATCTTTAAATGCTAACACATCATTTCTTAGAAATCTCGTTTTCCGATTAATTTGATAGATGCACTATTATATATGTTGTTATATTTTAATCAAGACCCTAGCTATTATATATAACATGGTGGCCTCCCTACAAATTCTGCAATTCCATCCCAATATCTGATCTTGATCATCAGCAGGAGCAAAAAGTATTCCCCTCCTTGTTAGAAATTAGCCTACCATGGTTCTCTTTGATTTCAAGTTCGACAAGCACTTCGTTGCTTCCTCGGACAGAGCCACCCTCCAAGTCTATGAGTTGACCAACCCTACTGCCAATCCTTCCTCCATCCGAAAGAATCACTGGAAGGAAGTTGCCACCATCACCGCGCGTGATCACGATCAAAGCGACGACGACGAGGTCGAAGTCGATGATCACAAAGCACTAGCAGAGGAGGAGGAATCGTCTTACCACGGGTTGATGTTCTTCGATGGTCACGGGGAGATCGAGGGATGGGAGGCGTTGACCAAGCTAGCCCAGCACCTCACCCGGTTGCAACTGAGGGTCAGCCCTCAAGGGTTTTGTTTCCAGGATGTTACCGGGTTGGGCGAACACAAAGCATTTGGGCTCCACTATCTCCGACTGAACGATCTTTTCGACTGGTCGTATCATGGTATCAGAATGACGAGCAACGCCACGTGGCCGCGGCGCTCGGTGTTGAAGTACCTCATACCGGGAGGGGAGAAGCGGCCTACGCCCACTGCCGGTGGTGGTGTGAGCAAGGAGATGTACGAGGAGCTGGAAAAGACGGTCGGAAAGAAGGACGAGGAGTTGGAGAAGTTGAGGGAGGAGGTGGAGAAGCTGAAGGGCGAGAAGGAAGAAATGATGAAAGAGAATGCATCCGAAACAAAAAAGCTAAGGGAACAACTGTCACAACTTCCTCAGGAGCTGGAGCAACGCCGTAAGCAATCATGGTTACTGACAGCTACAACTAAGTTAGTGCCCCTTCGCGACCCTATGCATGGTGGCCTAATAAAAAGCAGAAGACGTCCGGTGCCACGGGATACTTGGAGTACTCCGCGCTCCGAATTGCGTTGGGGCACTTTCTGGTATTGGCGAAAAACCGGGGCCAGCAATTGGCCGTTCACGTCAGTAGATAGGCTCTCTCTGGTGGATGAAGATCCGAAAGATTGGCTTCCCCCTCCCAAGATCAAGGTGCACATATACGATAGCCAATTCGACATAGACAACTGGTGGTTTGTTAAGACAGTCCACCCAAACGGCGGCTTGACGATGATGGCTTATTACGACGGCAACAATACCATTTCTTCTGTCCGAGTTCCCCATGCAGCTGACATCACCGGTTTCCATATAGATACGGCTTGCATCCTGGCTTATGTGGGCAGCCAATACAAGCTTGCTTTCTTTTACGGCTGAGTAGCCTGCTAAGGCGTGAGTGCGTGCTGGCTGGTCGGTCTGCATCATAGATCAGCTCGAGTAATACCCGGCTAGGCGGGTTCAAATTGCCATCCTGATGGACATTTCAGTTGCTTCATGTTGAACTTTCAACCCGGAACCTGCAATTTTTGTTAGACTCAACGCAGAAGTAGACATGAATTCAAACTAATTCTAAATTTCGTTGAAGAACAAGATGAGTAGCAAGCACGAGGAAACAGATTGATGCTCTTGAGATATACCATTTAGAGAGACTAACCTAGAGCCTGATGAGCCAGTAATTAAAAAAAAATTAATTGAATTTGCAATCTTGATATAAAGGCAAACACAGCATAATATATAATATATTGTGTCGTAATTAATTTCCCTACCTGCTCCGCAGCTTCGGTCTTTTCCAAGTCTCTCTTCTATATCATAACTAGTAAAGAAGCCCGCGCTCTGCGGCGGGGAGACTATATTGTGGGAATGGAGAGTTGTAAGCGAAAGAGCGGAGTCATTGTGCATGTGAATAGTTTGTACGTACATCGCGGATACATAAGTCTGTTGATGTTGAAGTGCAAATATTGCTAAATACTGGCATAATATAGGTAAGACAACGGTCGAGCACAATGACTTTCTGCGCAAGCGTTGACGTTTTCATTAGTTTATTGTCAGAGCTGGCTGCGGTCGAATGCAGAAAGTATAGTAAACTCCAGAGGAGTCTGAGCCAGATTTCCAGGTTTAGGGAGTTGCACACAAAACGAAAACCAACAGCCATTCATGGCCACAATTGGCGGAGGGAAATGGCCATGGCGGTGGGGATGCTGCAACAATAGTTCGTTTGCTGTAACTCCAAGCAAAGATTCAGCGGTCTTTCCAAGTGCGACGAAGCACGCCGAACCAGTAGTGTCTCCGACAGCCAAATGAATTTTGTAGCTGTAAAAATGTATTAAAATTTCAGGGGTGAATTGGGCGTGCCCACTTGACTGATGGGGAAAAGGTGGATTTTAAACTAACCAATGTTCGGTTTCTTCAGCCTTTAGTTGGCCATGTTCTTCACAAAAAAAATCACCAGTGCCAGGAAATTCCCTAGCTGTCTAAAGCAAAAGGCACATCCTAAGTAGAACCATGATCTTGAAGCCTCAGTGGAGAGGACTTGCGCCAAACAATAGTACTGGGTAGCCTGTAGGTAAACAAAACTGGTGAGAAAGTGTAGCTAAGCAGGCAAGAAATTTGTTAGTTTACTGCAAAAGGGACTGGAAAACAGATCCATCTAGTGGTGAGGCAGAATAAATTTTGAAGCATGAAAATAATGGCTGGCTACATTAATAGTGCAGATTATGCTTTAACCTGCCATGAAGTAATAAGATACATTGCTGTGACAGTAAAAGTTATGACAAAAGAACGCACGTCAACCATTGGATTTCTGGAAAGGCGGATGAGGTCCATAATTGTCTTGGTACTGTCAGCTCGAAATATTTCCTCTTCAAAATAAGTGGAAAAGCATGGAGGATAATAGCGGATCGTATCTGTACCACCAGTAGCACTACAATTTCGAAAGTATATGAGATAAACGGAAAGTCAACTACTAAAAGCGGCATCTTGTAAGAGACTTACGTAGCACGCAAAACATTTGCCCAATGCAGAAGATGGCTCCAAAACAAAACAGTGTAGCGGAGGTGCTGGTTAAAAAAATGCCGCCTTTGGTAAGGTAGGAAAGGAGATGTGAGTCGTCGTAGAATGGATTAGCAATAGCATTAACTGTGAGGGATAAAGGTGCAGTGTAAACCTGGTGTGGCGTCAGTAACTTGAAGACTGCATACACCAAGTATAACAGATCCCATGCGGCTAAGGTATGCTAGTTCTTCTCCATCTAGTGATCGAGCAACATCGCCACATATGGTGATGTTAACACGTTTATTTCTGCAATAGTCAAGTGCAGGCTAGACGGAGATGATTGGAATTACGGTTAATCAAATACAAATGGAAAGGTACACAATCGCATTGCATTGAAAACCTTTCGTTTGTATGACCAGTTTCCGCCTAATAATAGCACCAGTGGATGTTGCGAACAGGATAACCCGCTCACAGAAACAACTCTGCCAACAACATCTACATTTGGAGAGGTGTTACAAGAGCGTCAATTCATTAGTGCAAAAAACCAAGTCAAGTATATGTGATGAGATTACAGTAATTGCCAGGTGAACCTATGAGCTGGTTTGTTGAGCGAGGTAAGCCGTGCAAGGAACTGAAGTGTAAAAACTCAAATGAATCAGCACAGAAACCCGGTGACAACATGGTTACATCCTCAAATATGGTTCCCTGAGAAAGGACCAAACTAAATCTATGGGAGCAAGGGCGGCACAGTGGCTGTGGTTTTGCCAGCTGGAATCCAGTAACTAAGTAGACACACCCTAGTTGCAGGTATGGGCCAAATCGGTGACCTAAATGTGGTGTCGCGATGGCCTGGATTAAGGTTCCCTGTTAAACAGGGAGGAGGCGAAGCAAGAGAAATGACCGAAGAGCACAATTTGCACTGGTAACTGCAAAAAAAAACGTTTAAGGAAATGCTATATTACCTTGGAATCGGTCCAAAGACTGCAAAACTGTGAGAGAATGGATGGATTTTCTGAATTGCAATCACCCCAAACATGCAAGAGGCGTATCTTGAGAGCAGCTTCTGGCCCTTCAGTTCCATTCAAATCCCGAAGCAGCTTTTGCGGAAGCATGTCTCTTTTGTGAGGAAATTGGGGACGGAGATCGAACCGGATGACACCAGAAGGAAGGTTGAACAGGAACAGTGTGCTGATTCAGGATTTTAGTGAGGAAATAGCGGAAGAAGAGTAAAGTTGATGAGAGAGGATGAAAAGTGAGATAAGAGCAGGGATCTTCCTAAACGTTGAATAAAACAACAAAAGACATAAACTTTCTCTCTGAACTGTTCAGTGTTTCTGCGGCCCAAAATGATTCAAAATACAATAAAAATGGTCGTAGAAGAAAGGCCTAAAAGACAAGTGGTGTGAAGGGAATCTATTACTTTTCAACTGAGGCAACAGTACAGCAAACGGGGGAAACATACTAACACTGGAGGCTAGAAGGGAATGACCGATTTTAGTCGAATTACAGGAGGTTACATTAGGAACATAGTACACTGTAGATAGCGAATCAGGGGTGGTTATTGATATCTGTAATGATCTTGAGATCTAATATAACAGAACAGTAACGACACAAGAGTGAAGACAGAACACTCAAACACATGTACAACAAAGGAACTGCAGAAAGGGCATAACTAAGACGAATAAAATACGAACGTGCATTGCCAAGTACATTGTTTAGATCTGAACTATTTGGATGGTTGAGCTTAAAGGGTAGCTACCATACACAACGTACCAGAACAGTTTATGTTCAGAATGGAAATAAAGATGGACTATTCCAATTCTCAAAATATCGAATTAACTAATAATGTTGCAATCCATGTCTTCTGGGCCTGCCTTACTTTGATCCTTCCTCAGCCAACAACCCAATTCGTTCCTTAGTCCTAAGAGCTGCAATAAGAACAGACATGTGGGTATTTATTAGTGCGCAAAAAATGGTTGTGCCCACGAGCACTAATGTTCCACTGAATGCAAAACAAAAGTAGGAAGGAATGTACCTTCTTTGACTGCAACGTAAGGGTTCGGTCAGATGCGCAATTTAAGTTCTCGCAATGGCTGAAATGCTTTTGAATCCCAAATCGCAAACATGCGGATGTGTGGTTCATCTGAATCTTCTGATCCCACGATGTACAGTTCTGCCATTAGCTGAACATTGCAGAATGTTTTGAGCAACTCAACTCTCTCGTCATATGGCATCATTTGGAACTCGAGCGGTGGCATACGGATTAGAGCAAGAGAAGGTTGATGATTCAGAACTATTGTTGCGGTGTGATTTCCTGATTCGCATTCAGCCTGCAATTCGTAGTACAATCTAAACGTATACGTAGATTAGAGATGTGGTAGCAATGAATTGTTACTTAACAATAAGGAAAAGAAAAGTAGTTGTAATTTGGAAATACTCAGTGTCTTCAGGAAACGTTTTGCAGGTCTCAGAACCAAGATGGAACTTAAGTATCTTCAATTTGCATCGATAGAGTATCTGTCACACGGATTGAATTAGGAAAATTGTCAAATCCAGTTTTTGTGAGTAACTAAAACATTTATTTTGTTGGAAGGTCACCTGAGGATGCTTGATAATTTTCATATATACTTGCTTAACAATCTACAGTTGCAGAAAGAAGGTAAGGAAAGTCACCTCAGTTTCCATTTCTCCTAATGGAACTTTGGTTTTCAATTCCAGCAGTGAAATTCTGGGAGGAATCTTGCGCCGAAGGTATCCAAGGCGTCCTTCGAGCTGTAGTCAATGATGTCCACTGGCAATCTGTTATGAAAGAACCTAGTAGGTTTGTTGTGTTCAATTAGCTAACTGGTAGAAGAAGATGCATATAATGAAAAGAAAGATGCAAATAGTACAGCATACCTGTTCATTAAAAGATGTGTCGTTTCATTGTATGGTTGCACAATGAGACGGGTCCCAGGAGATGTCACGAAACAAAACGGCGGAATATGGGTGAATTCGTGGACATTTCGGGTGAGGCCTGTTGCTGTAATAATCAGAGGATAATGCACCTCGGTTCCATCAGCACTATGAATGAATTGTTTAATCCGCGTTCCGATGTAGCTCACAAGTCCTTTATTGCCACTATGAAGTTGGAAGACAACTAATGAGTGTTAATACAGACCAATTTCCATTCAAACGTATAAAACATAAACTGATTTCGAAGCATACCTCATGTCTTCCAGATAGATTTGGAACATAAATGTATCAGAATTGACCCTAAGTGGTTCTGTTATGTGCGTCACGCATCC